ATCTCTCCGTTCAGAATCTAAAACACACATTGTAAAACCAATACATTCATCATTCCGTTCAGAATTTAAAACATTTGTGACAAGACATTTTTCTAATATTCAGACACATTAGTTGTATTCTTTGAGCGAAAAAATTAATATAATTTGCCAATAATAATTAATAATTGATTGAATATATTATAATTGATATGATATGATATATAATATGATTGATATATGAGTATTTGAAGATACATGAATATATGTAGTATACGAAAAAAGGAGTTGGCGGTCAAACTTGTGGGAGACCTCCAAAAAGTCAGCAAATTTTTTTTTAGGCCTCTATGAATCTTATATAAATAAAGCTGGTATTCCATATACAAAATATTAAAATAGTTATAATACTAAATACCACTTGACCCTTTCATGGCGTATAAATTGTTTTTAATTTCTTCCTTGATTTTATTTTTGAAACAGTTTTTTATGATTTATTGTTGTTTATTAAAATTTAGTTAGTATATACATAGATTAGTTTTAAATAAGTTTAAAAAATGTCTCTTTATTTTGTATAAACTTTAACGTAATGTATGTCGAATTGTGGCGTTTAAAGACTTTAAATTCAACCGTTATATGTAAATGTGTTGATATGAGAACTGAGAAGTACGTAAAATCAGAAAGACGTACTTACTTGAACTGTGATAAAGCAGGCAGAACCTCCTGGAAGGGAACCATCATCTCCTAAATATGGTTCAAAATTGTTGCTTGAAAAAAAATATAAATTTAGGCACAATACAGTTATAAGAAAAACAATTCATAACGTTTATTGTACCTACCTGACATGTTTTTCTAAAGATTTATGTTCAATTAGTTCATTAGGAACAATAGAAACAGAGTTACTATCTTTTTTAATTAGTTTGAAACGGTTTTTCATAATATTTTTGATGGATTTTTTTTAGAAATGTGTGTTCTTTTTAATTTCTCAACAGTAGGTTTTAAATCTGAATAGTTAACCAAGACAGCATCATATTGGTTTTTTTAAATTAATCTAAGTACACTTTTGTTCACTTTTTCGGATGAAAAGTATTCGGCCAATACTGTGGGATTTTTTTTATAAGGCAATGAACGAGTGCCTGTTGATTGCCATTCAATGCTATCAGCAAAACTTTGATTATACGCACACATATACCACAAACCTGGTTTTGGTTCCAAGTTATAACACTGTACTACGTCATCACTGTTTAAATTTGGTTTTTTAAGTAATTTAATGGCTTCTTTTAAGTTTAAAGTTGAGCGTTCGATAGCAAAAAAATATTTTGCAAAGCCATTTCCATACAATTAAGAAACAACGATTTTTTTAAATGGAATGAAACACACGCACACTCACTTTAACTACTTCTAAACTAAAAGAGTAAAATTAATATATTTAGATATTGATGTGTACGGGCACGTTGTTATTCTTAGTGAAGAGAGCAAGGACGTATTTTGAAAGAATATACGCAAAGGCGCTTATTAAATTACTAAAAGAAGTGTTTATTATTACGAAAATTACAATGTACTGTATCTTATATGCTTAATTACTCTAGACTTATTACATAGATTTTCTGTATAACAAATAAGGTTCTGCCTGAGTGCGTATAACTCTACGACTGACTGGGCGGCCGTGACCAAGGAGCCCTCTGTGCAACGACCAGGGTAGGAATTGCTGGATAAGCAGATTCCAGCTCGAGCGTCCGTTCCCGTAGTCACGTACGCCAGTATACATATCATATTACTCTAATAAAACTAAGTACTATGCTCCAATATAACATACCCCCAGGGCCAAATTGGAGCAGTCACTGCGACTTAACTTATCACTAAATATATATGTATATAATATGTAGATTAACATTCAGTTTCTGCTATTTCTGGCTTAAAAACATAGATTTTTTGTTTCTTTGCTTTCACCAGTAAAAATGTGATTACTATTACTAATATAAAAATACAAACATATTCTATTACAATATGATATTCCATTGGAATTATTAACATGTTTTCTGTCGTTTTATTATTAGGTTTTTGTTCTATTGTGGATTAACGTATTGCTTGGCGGAGATTTTTATATAAACCAAAATGATTAAGTGTCTGGGGATTATTGTCATCTATATCTAATTCCTTAATTTTACTTTTATTAAATAACGGATTTTCCGGAACTAAATCTAATGTATGATTAATAAATGTGTTTAAAATAGGTGACATAATTGCCGTAGTTGTGTGTAATGTACAAGAAGGAGCGATACTAAGTCGGCCAATGCCTTTTATATTAAATTGGAAAGATTTCTGAGGGTTTTTACAATTTAAGGTTACAAATTCGGAATGAGTACAATAAATCCAAGAATCGGTTTTAAATAATCGGTTCCAAATGCTTACATCGAGTTTTATATATTTCCTTTTGCATGAGATCGGAAGAAATTGTGGATTTTTTAAGATTTCGACTTCACATATTTTAGAGGATGCCCTTCGTTGAATTGGTTCATTGCCTTTGCAAATAGTGTATGAACTTAGCCTAGTACAAGAATCACTTTGTTGCTGAGTTAAAGTAAAATAGAATTCACTATCATCGCTAAAAGATATATAATCGATCTCTGGCTCAATTATTACAGCGTTATCATCCTTCATATAAAAAGGTAATGGAATAGGATGATACATATCGTAGCTATTTACAGTGATTATCGGGAAATTCAATGCAAAGATGAGAAGAAAATCTTTTTGTAGAATAGAAATAGAAGAAATTGCTAAACACTCTGGAATGTTCTGTATTTTCGGTTCTACAGGGAGTTGGGTTTGTTTGCGCCGCCGCTGATACTCGCGTTTGATAATTGCCGTTTAATTATTTTTATTAATGCCTCCGCACTACCACACCGCACCACCGATTCACACACACATACACGCACAACATTATTGTTTTATTTGTATTATATTATTATTGTTTTATTTTTGTATTATATTCCGTGTATTGTGTATATCGTGAGTTATATAATATACGTAGATTACGCACGGTCGCATACGCGCTATCAGCCACCACCGGCTCGCTGGAAAACGGGATGAATTAGTACGGCCGCCCGAGCCGGCAGTCCAGTTCTCGTAGTGAAATCGAAACACGCATTATTACGTGCGCTAATCGCCGTTATATGAAATAAAGTGTTATATTGTTTTCTTTGTCGGCACGAATTGCCAGGTTTATAATATTGTTTTATATTGGCGCTAATCGCCACGCAAATTATTATTCATTTTTTATTACTTGTGTAAGGCGCGAATCGCCACACATTTTATTATTGTGTAAGGCGCATATCGCCACATTTATTATTGTTATATTATATTATATCATTCGTGTACGCGAGCGAATCGCTGTGTTTTTTATAATATATCTGTTTTATCCGTGTGCGCGAATCGCCACAGTTGTTATATTATTTGTGAGCGCGAATCGTCGCGGCGTAGTATTATTATATTATATTTGTTGGGCCAGGAGGGCCACGTAAAATTATTATATCATATTTGTTGGGCCAGGAGGGCCACGTAAAATTATTATATTATCATTGTTATTATATTTTTTCCTATCTTGTGTGTGTGAATCTTTATTTTCATTAAATAGCTAGGACCAGCTGGCCAGACTGCGCTCCACAAACTGTGAGTTATTTTATCATTATATTTTTGTCATATTAATTATTATCGTGCCAGAAGGGCCGTACAATTATTATATTTTATTCGGGTCATAAGGGGGGCCACACATTAATGATTTATATTATATTTTTTTTTTGAACTGTATTATCGTGTTGCTGGGATTCTAATATAGTTACATTATTATTGATTTCGTGAATTATACAGCAACTAATTATTTACTTGAACGTGTTACCTTTTATTATTAGTTTTTAAGCACACACTCACACAAATACACACTTACACACACACCACACACTAGCACTCTTCGGTCTTGCTCGGCGACCCCGTCCACTTCCTTTGAGTCGCTATACACATATACACACTTTTACACAGGTCGGTCGGTGTGTGAGTACCGCGCGAAGTATTTTTGGTGACCGGGCGGCACGGCCTATTATTGTTTCGTATCCGGCCCGTACAGGGTTCCTGCTGGCAACGTTAATTGGATTGCTCCGAGTTCTCTGAGAAGCTTTATTGGTGGTATTACTGTGGAATGAATTTTTCCACGAATTGCTGAATTTATAATAGAAATGAGGTTTTGCGTTTCATACGCGTACTGATTAAGGAGAGATTCTAAAATGATAGATTGTTCTAACAAAGTAGTTTTTACCATTAATGTATTGATTGTCATAGTATTCTTGATTGCCTGGGTTTGGAGGAGTTGAAAATTTTCTTCTAGTTTTTGTTGATGGTTGGATATATTGCTGATTGATTTCGAAATCTCACTCATAGTCGTTTGAAATAATCTAGTTTGATTCTCTACTAAATCACTTGTTGCTTGTCTTGCCATAGATAGATCCTTAATTCCTTGAAAAATTGAATTTACATCTAAAAATGATTTTGAGCTGAATAACACCTTGGCCAGTTCAGTGAACGAAGTATCAAAACTGCGACGAACTCGTCCTTCCACACTACTGTCCTGCCCTATTGTTGTCCAAATGTTATCCAGATTAGCATCAATCTCGAATAAATGGATATTAGTGGACTGATCAAATTGTTTGCATGGATACCAGAATTCGGTCACATTAACTTTGTATTGTAGCTGTGTATAGACTTGTTTGACTCCTTCGTCAGTAATGAGATGTCCCAAGTATATGACCTCTGTTCGTAGGAATTGACACTTTGACGGTTGTTAACGGAGATTAAATTTTCTAAGCCTTGCAAATACATCTCGCAGTTTGGATTCATGGTCCTTTAAGTCCGAAAACAATTATATCATCCAAGTATACGAAAGCCTTGATACCGTTGATTCCCGTTAGAGCTGTGTTCATTACGCGTTGGAATGTACTGGGAGCTCCGCTTAACCCAAATGGCATTCTCCGGAATTCATAGTGGCCTTTGTCAGTAGAAAAAGCTGTCTTTTGACGATCTTCTGCCCTAATTGATACATGGTGGTATCTACTGACTAAATCCAACGTAGAGTAGTATCTCGACCGTCCTAATTGGTCCAAAATTTCATCTATCCTAGGTATAGGGTATGCTGCCGCGCAAAGCGAAAATAGGATAACTCCAGTCAACATGATTGTTAGGAAACAGCAAATAACGTTTTTAATAGTAAATCAAGCATACAAATTGCGTTTATACGATAAATGCATCAATACTTGTGCTGATATATTTAATTTTACATATAGAATTGGTTAAACAATTTTTATTTCAACTTTTTTGAATATTTTGAGGAGAAAATGGACTTATCATAAAATCAAATATCGGAGTACTAAGCGAAAAATTGATAACTCCATAATAATGGACTTACCGGATTATTGCTTAGACTTTTTGGACATACCTTGTTTTAATATATGTTCATTGATCACACAACATTATTTATATTATGTAAAAAACGTCTAACTCCAGTTTTATCAAACAAATAATCATAAATTCTTTTTATTGTTAAAAAAAATTGTTACAAAATAATTATAAGCCTTTATTTAAATACATAATTAAATATTTAAAAAACAAAATAAAACAATGTGCATACTTTTTAGCTTGTTTTAAAAGCTGTTTAAAATAAATGAAATCTTAAATAATAAAATAATAACCAGTATAAACCTTTAAAAATAAAATAAAACAAAATTTAAATTTATGGTAACA